ATGATGATTGAATATAAAATAATAGAAGCAAATAATAATAAAAATAAAATTAATAAATAATATAAATAAAATTTCTGAATAATAAAATAATACTAGAAAAATAATAAAATATTACAAATTGCAGCAAAGTCTACAAAAATATTGCAGAAATTATAAAATGCAACAAAATTCAAACAAATATTTATAAGTATTATAAAATGCAATAGAATGCAATGAAATTATTTATTATGAAAAAAATAAATAATTTTATACAGGCAATGAAAAATAATAAAGAAATTTAAAAAAATGCAATAAATTGGAGCCTAATATTTAGCATAATATAAATTGTAACAAAATATAACATAATAATTTTGACACATATATGAGTAAAGTATGTATAATAAATAAAGAACAGAATTATAATAAAAAAATCGGTTAACTTTGACATTTAATAAGTTGACAGTATATGTTCATGCATTTATTTATATTTTGCGTTATTTAGCAAAAAAGTTATTAAAGAATGTACTTATTGTTATATATTATTAAAAAGCTAATAAAATTTACTATAAGTTGTTGTAATTTAATTAATAACATTTAGAACAAAATTATATTATAAACTAGCTGTAGGTGGAATTCTGTCTTGAGGCAATTATGGCATCGTGCCTTAAGGCAAATTGCTGGAACTTCCCGTACCGTATCGAAATGTTCGAGGAATACTGAATGTTTTCAAATAGATTATTATAAATATTGTAACATTGTGTAATATTTATAAGAATTATATAAACCGAATTGCAGATTTGAAATTATTTGTAAAGTATATTAGAACTATAGTCAGAATTAAAAACAAAATCTGAAATATTTTCGATATACAAAAAACTAAAAAAAAAAAAAATTGGAACAAAAATTTTTTTTTCATATTTTGTTAAGACAAGCAGAAAGTTCTTTGAATCATTTAAATCGGACGCTTAGTTATCTCAAAAATTGCCATTTTTTACATATTTAGCTTCGTATCTTCAAAATGTCTGGGCCTGCCTTTGCCAAAAACTAATAAACACTTCTCCCATTCATTACTAATTGAATGCTTTTTAGATCATTCAAATCGGATACTCCGTTCTCTCAAAAATTCGATTTATATTTTCTGCATTCTTTGCTCCGTATCTCCGAAACGGCTGGACCTGCCTTTGCCAAAAACTAATCAGCTGTTTTCCCTATCAATAGGAATCGAATGTTTTTTGAACCATTCAAATCGGTTGATCCGTACGCCCGAAAACGTGGGCGAAAATATGTATCCATACATACATACATACACACACACACATCCATTTTTTCTGAGGTATGCCAAAACGTTCAGAAACCTTCAAAACGTCGAGAAATGTAAAAATTTTGAATTTCGATTTTCGGCCCATTACAATAACTTACCCTACGGGAAGTTAAAAATCAACCAACTTTGATATTTTATGATAATTTTTGATATATTTTGACAGTATTCGCTTTTGCTTTTTTTATATTTTGCATTATATGTCGAAAACTTGTTAGAACATGTATTTATTGTTATATATCATTTAAAAGCTAATAAAATTTATTATAACTTGGTATACATTAGTTTATAACATTTAGAACAAACTTGTATTCAAAAAAATCGATAAACTTTGACATTTAATATGTTGACAGTGTTTCTTGTATTAACAAAAATGTACTGTTTTTTGTGTTTTCTCAATCTTAAATTTTACTCCAAACTTTAATTAATGTTTTTATATTTTCATAGACAAGACAAAGTCTACAAAAATATTGTAGGGATTATAAAATGCAGCAAAATTCAAACAAATATTTATAAATATTATAAAATGCAATAAAATTTATTATGAATAAAATAATTTTCAAAAAATGCAATAAAAAGCTTGCCAATATTTAGCATAATATAAATTGTAACAAAATATAGCATCATAATTTTAACATGTATATGAGTATAGTATGTATAATAATTTCCAATACATAATACATAAATTTAATTAATACGTTTTGTATCGCATCCTCGCCATCTCCCAGTGTGTAGATCTATTTATAGAGAAAATAGCTCCTTATATATACAGTTTCTCATTAAGATTTCGCACTTCCTATCTTTTCCCTTACCCTAAATTTTCACCCTCTTCCACCCTTTACTCTCGGAAACGGCAACCGGAAATTTCCTGTTATCAATCCTAGGAGCTAAATAATAAATTTCCTCTCTCTTGGTGTAATCTTTGGATTAACTTAGTAACGAGAATAGATTTAGTTCAAGAGATTTAGGTGAAAAATTTCAGGTGATTTAATTCACTAAAGGTAAAATAATCAGGTGCTTAGGGTTAGGTAATTAATAGTTAAATTTTATTTAAACTTCATATAATTGTACCTGAAATTATGTATTAAAAGTTTTTCAGGGCGAGAAATGAAAGAAAGTTACTTGTTTAATTCTTTTAAGTTTAGAGTCAAAATTTGTTTGGACATACATATGTTTTTATATAACATTAGAAAGCTAATAAAATTTGCTACAACTTAGTATGTATTAGTTAATAACCTATAGAACAAAATTATATTTAAAAAAATCTTTAAACCTTGACATTCAATACGTAGACAGTATTTGTTCTTGCATTTGGAAAGCTAATGAAATTTACAATAAATCTGTATAAATTAGTTAATAACTTTTAGAACAAAATTATACAAAAAAAAGAGTGCGCGTAAGGATCACACGCGATTGAAGTAAAACTTATTTGATACTGTATAAAGTAGCAAATTTAAGTTGAGTAAAAATAAATACATCATATAAAAATTTTGAATAATGTCTATTAGTAATATGGTAACACTCGTGATGCACACATTTATTGGTGTCGTCAATCATTATACACATTTATATAATGATAAATTATAAATTATATATTTATGATTACATTAAAAATATATATAATATTTACAAACAATAATGTAATCAAAGTCGTACTTGAAATATGACATGATCGTTTTAAAGTAATTGCTGATTAATAAATTCTATAATATTCGTTCACACAGTGGATTATGTTAAACAACGCCTAAACAAGTATTGTTTTTGCAAATTAACTCATCCTGTAACAATTGTGTTTGAAGAACTTCATGTAATTGAAATTAACATACATTCATTTACTGTTTGTATTCTTTTTTACTTTTTCGCTGACGATATAATCTCATTCCTTGAACAGCTGTAATATCCGTCTTGCCTAACAAATTGAAGCCATACTTTTATATTTGTTTTATTTATCAAGCCCTGCACATTGCTTGATCTATGAATCATTTGCTTTTTTATGTGAACGTTAATGCAATGGTCATCATCAATATTACGAGGTAATAAATTAACCATATTATTAATGTCAACAGGCACATTTATAATTTGGCCAAACATTCCAAATTGTCCATTTGCATGTCGCAATCGTCTAATTTGCATGAAACACAACCTAGGTGAAATTAACCTTTCAGATACAGTATCTAGTTTAGGTAGATAATTTGGTATAGGTGGAAATACAAACTCGTTAAATTTACAGAAAGTGGGAATTTTACCCGAATTTAATATCTTTCGACAAGTTTGACATCCAACCTGATTATTTTATCCAACCTAACCCATGTCGCGCCTAAAGAAGTTTTACTTCAAAAAATGTTTAGAGACTACGAGCTAAATACAAAACTCAAGTGAAAGTCGACACATTTTGTTTTGTTTTTGACATATGATTTGACATTTGATGTATTTTTTGTTTTGCTCGCAGAAAGAACGTATGAACCATTTTTTTTTTAAATTTAGCTTTATATTGCTAAAATTTATTAAAACACTTATATATTATTATATACCACTAGAAAGCTTATAAATGTTACTATAAGTCTGTGTATATGAATTTTTAACCTTCAGAACAAAATTATATAAAAAAAATAGTCAAACTTTGAGATTAAACATCGAAGCCCAAAAATGTACCATCAGTTTCCTACTATTATAATCGTACTATTTAATTTATTTATTCATACAATTATTTTTAACTCGAACTTTTTCTTCTTCGAACAAGTTTTACCTAACTAATTGGTCGACATTAGAAAAGGGCACATTTCTTTAAATATGAAATTATCGAACGAGTCTTGTTCAAATAATAAGAGTCTTGTGTTTTTCTTGAAAACACTTCAACAAATATTTACCAACATCTTTTAAATTAAACAAAAAAATAAAATACTCTACTACTATACTCAAGTTGTGTGCTTTTGTTTATTTATAACATTCATATTTGTATTTATTTTATTCATTTTCAAGGGGTAATAGAGGGAGAGCTGGGGGAAGAAATACATACATATTTAACATGGTACAAAGTTTTACTATTTGTTAAATATAATTTTGTTTTATACGATGAAAATTGATATACAGAGACTTATAGTAAATTTTATGAGCTTTCTAACGATATATAATAATAAATATGTGTTGTAATATATTTAAAAAATATCAGGCAAAAATTAAAAACAATACACTAGTTTTTGGTACACATTCTGAGTACGATATTTAATTTCAAAGTTTGACTAATTTTTTTAATATGATTTTGTTCTAAACGATAAAAATTGATATACACAGACTTATAGTAAATTCTATAAGCTTTCTAATGATGTATAATAATATATATGTGTTTTAATAAATTTACACAATATTAGACAAAATTTAAAAAAAAAATGTATATCAGTAAAACACTTTACAAATTTTGTTCATTTGACAAATTTTATTACCAAAAAACATTTTTCCCATAATTTTTATTTTTTATCATCTATATATTTTTCCACCAGCTCTCCTTTTACCTTTTACAAAGGTAAATTCTCCTTTTACCACAACGAAAGAAATATGTTCTTTGTTGTTGATTTAACCTTTTTCGAAACGATGTTTATTTAGTACGGAACCTAATAATAATATTCCATTCCATGTTTGAAGTAATTAAAATTTCTACTCTGGAATATGAATATTAAATATATGTACTTCTGTTCTGTTTTTTCAGGAAAAGGAAACAGACGTGGAATCGTACACTGAGGGAGTAAATGGACACAGGTAAGTTTGGATTTAGAAACTGTTTTTTGGTTAAATTTTGTTCTGGGTGCTATTAAAGTGTTTTGATGGGGTTGTAGTAAATTTTATTAGCTTTCTATTGATATATAATAATACGTTAGTTTTCAAACAAATTTTACTAATATAATGCTAAATACGGAACCCAAAAATGTAACCCAAATTTTACATCTTGTTAGGTGCCATTATCACTTTAAAGTTTGATGATTTTTTATATAAAAATTTGTTCTAAATGTTATAAATTTGTTTATGCACTGTTGCAGTAAATTTTATTGGCTTTTCAATGATATATAATATTAAACAGGGGTTTGAACAAATTTTGTCACTATAATGCAAAATGTCACCTCGAAATAAACGAGTCATATGCAATTCAGCACTTCAATTTCGAAGTTAAACTATTTTTTTTTTCAATAAATTTTGTTTTAAAGTTTAGAAATCGGTTGATAAACGACTGTAGTAAATTTTATTAGCTTTTTGGTGATATATAATAATAATTAGCTATTCAAACAAATTTGTGGTATAACATTTGCTAGATATGAAAAAGTTTAACCAAATATCAGTACGAGTTAAACCAGATTTTCAAATTCAAAGTTTGACTATTTTTTCTGTTTAAATTTTTATATATATATATATATATATATATATATATATAAACTTAAAATTGTCCATTTCTACACAAAAACTGTCGTAAAAAAGTTAGCACTTTAAAAATAAAAAATATTTTCTTCAAACAATTCACATGCTAATAAATCCTTCTAATTAATAAAAAAAACAGACAACAGCTTCATTATATCCTTCGGCTACCACATTTAGATAAAAAATCCTTTTTTCCTATTTTTTGTTCAATTTTATTTTATCCTGGTCATAAATTTCGATGAAAAACAGATGGACCTCAAACAAATGGACAAATTTATCGAATTTAGATAATTTTTACGGTTGACAGCCCTATTATTTATTTAGAGATTAATTTTATTGGACTTCAAAGAACAAATTTTGTACCGACAAAATAAATAGGCTTTTAATTAATTTTTAAAATTTAATTTTTGGTTCGATATTCAATTTCCGAAGTTTGACTAATTTTTTTAATATAATTTTGTTCTAAATTTAAATGAAAAACTTAAAATTTAAGTACTACATATTATAGTACACACATTGAAGTATATTTGTCAAAAACTTACAGATTTATACTACCATTGGTTTACCCTGAAGAGCTCCTCAAACTAAGCATTAACAACGTCTAATTTTCAATTAAAATGTGATATATAAATGCGCTTTGTACAGAAAAGAATTTTTTTGTAAACGATTATTCGGATTTTCATAAATCTTCCTGAAGTTTGTTAAGGGAATTTTCTATAATTTTTTGAATAATAGAAATATAGTTAGATTGTAGAAATAAGTGGAAAAAATACAAAAAACCGCTTATTATTGACATTGAAAATATTTGAGGCATTGTTTGACAAGAACAAATGAAGACTGTCATTTGCCAAATACTCATAGGCTAAGACAATATTAAAATATAATATATTTATGATTATGAATAAGAAAAATGCAAAACTCAAATTTGAATTAATACATATTATTGTAGACATATTGAACTATAATTTACTACGTTTTACTAATTGTTGACCCTGAAGAGCTCCTCAAAATCCAACTCGTAATTATCAATTCCTACATACATTGGCCACCTGTCGGTCGGTTCATCTGTGAGCTCTTAATTTTTATTACCAAGATAAAAAAAAGTAGAGTGAAGAGATCGAAAGACCAACGAAGAAATAACAACTTACATGAAGACCACACACAAATGAAGACAAGACAAGAAAAGAAGATACATAATTAATTCGATACTGGAGGTCTTGAAGAAAAATTGTGACACAAATGTTGATTTTGAGGAACTCTTCAGGTACTACGGAAAAACTCTAATTTCAATAATGCCTCAAATATTTTCAATGTCAATCAATGATAAGCTGTTTTTTGCAATTTTTTCCATTTATTTCTACAATCTAACTATATTTCTATGAATCAAAAAATCCTAGAAAATTCTCTTAACAAACTTCAGGAAGATTTATCAAAATCCGAATAATCGTTCTTAATTTGTGTACTTTAATATGCAGTAGTTAAATTTACAAGTTTTTATTGAAAATTATATAATTAATTCGATACTGGAGGTCTCGAAGAAAATTGTGACACAAATGTAGATTTTGAGGAACTCTTCAGGTACTACAAAACTCTAATTTCAATAATGCCTCAAATATTTTCAATGTCAATCAATGATAAGCTGTTTTTTGCAATTTTTTCCATTTATTTCTACAATCTAACTATATTTCTATGAATCAAAAAATCCTAGAAAATTCTCTTAACAAACTTCAGGAAGATTTATCAAAATCCGAATAATCGTTCTTAATTTGTGTACTTTAATATGCAGTAGTTAAATTTACAAGTTTTTATTGAAAATTATATAATTAATTCGATACTGGAGGTCTCGAAGAAAATTGTGACACAAATGTAGATTTTGAGGAGCTCTTCAGGATAAATCGTTGGTACTATAAAACTCAAATTTCAATAATGCCTCAAATATTTTCAATGTCAATCAATGAATGATAAGCGGTTTTTTGTATTTCTTTCCATTTATTTCTACAATCTAACTATATTTCTATGAATCAAAAAATCCTAAAAAATTCCTTTAACAAACTTCAGAAAGATTTATCAAAATCCGAATAATCGTTCTCAATTCGTGCACTTTAATATGTAGTAGTTAAATTTACAAGTTCTTATTAAAAATTTGTACATATTATTAATTTTCTCAACAAAGCGCTATGTATTCTATAGTTATGTATTCAATGACGTTTTTAGGAAGCTCTTCAGGCTAAACAGTGGGTACTAGAATGCTGTAATTTTTGATAAAAATAGTTTAATATATGTTAATTTTATTTACAGTTTTATTTGAATTTCTAATATTTTTTCCCAACATATATCTTATATATAAAATTCTTCTGTAATGGTGTATAAAAGATTAATCCTCCTGAACGATTATTCGGATTTTCATAAATCTTCCTGAAGTTTGTTAAGGGATTTTTTTAGGATTTTTTGAATTATAGAAATATAGTTAGATCGTAGAAATAAATGGCAAAAATTACAAAAAACCGCTTATCATTCATCGAGTTTTTTATTGGTATCAACATTTTTTGTTTATAAGAGTGTACGTTATCAACGTTGTTTTTAAAGAGCTCTTCAGGCTAAACCATCGAAACCACATAGCGGTAATCTTCCTGGATTATAATTTACTATGTCTAAATCCTTGTCCACCAATGTTTTAAATCCAATTTTTCTTTATGTACCCATTAAAAATATTATTAGAACAGAAACCATTTCGAGTCGAAAATTAAGACCGTTAAAATACATTTCGGATTTTCCATTAATAATAATTAAAAGGCAGAAGAAAAACAGATTTAGTATGAAAATTAAGAAAACAGTTACTTGCCAAGAGGAAACTTTGTAGAAAGTTTCGGAAAAGTTTTGGAGAAGCAGGCGAAAACAATTGTTTTAGGAGAATTAATTTTGCGAATTTAACTGTTTGGGGCAGATTATTAAATATATATATATATATATATATATATATATATATATATTATAACAATTTAAAACAATTCCATGTCAAAAAGCAATGAAATTTTCTTAATTTTTCAAACACCTGTCTGACTTTTTTTACATTTACTGCCGACAGACAGTCCTTTTTATCTTAAAATTATCTCAAATCTTTCGGTAAATTAAATCTTTATCTTATCTATCATACAATTACTTCAATTTCGTTCGTAATTGCCCGTGAAAAATATTCCTTTTCTTTTATGATATCTTATCTGAAGATACAAAAGAATTCAAGGTATTAAAAAGGTTTTTTTTTGCAAAATAAAGTAGTCTAAAAAGGAACTTTTGAAAAAAATATATTTAATCTAGATAAAGACGGACTTTTTGTTTATCTATATAAAGATAATTTTTATTTAACGGTTTAAATAATTATTTTATTTTCAGTTATATAAAGATAAAAATGTGCTTTGAGTTTTATGGATGGATTATTATTTTTAATAACTTTACAATGTTGTAATAAAATAAAAATTTTGTTGGTCGCACCGTTTGTACTACAATCTTGCAATTTTACAAAATTATACTTTAATATGTCTATTTTAACAACAAATACTAAAACCTATGATTTTGTACACCCAAAATTAGTTACACAATTTTTTGCAAAAATGCACTGGGCATATATATTACTCTATTAATTTTGTTGGTAAATATATAAAAGACTTATGTGATAAATGTTCACATAAGTCTTTTGAGAAATAATTTATTTAACGAGCTCTTCAGGACGTACACATATGAAATTTTAGTATGCTACTTCTTAATGTATATACTTTAGTAAAAAATAGTAAAATTTGTAAGTTTTCACACAAAAATTTAAAATATTTTTAACTAACCATAAAAAGTGCATCGTTATACATTTCACTTTGATCACATAAGTCTTTTGAGAAATAATTTATTTAGCGAGATCTTCAGGACGTACACAGATGAAACTTTAGTGTGTTACTTCTTAATCTGTATACTTTAGTAAAAAATAGTTAAATTTGTACGTTTTCTCACAAAATTTTAAGATATTTTTAACTAACCATAAAAAGTGCATTGTAATACATTTCATTTTGATCACATAAGTCTTTTGAGAAATAATTTATTTAGCGAGCTCTTCAGGACGTACACATATGCAATATTAGTATGCTACTTCTTAATATGTATACTTCAGTAAAAAATAGTAAAATTTGTAAGTTTTTTCAAGTGTTTTTGAATGTAAATTTTTATAAAATAATTAAATATTTTTCACCACAAATTTTAAATTCCTCCTTGCAATTCCTTATAGACAGACGGATTTCTAGACGATTTGTTCCCAACAAAAAGCCTAAATTCCTTTACAAAAACCTGTCATCTGTCTGTCTATTATT